ATACTGCAGGACATTTTTCACAGTTGACTGATATTTTGATTTGACAATCTTCAATGATGAGAAAGTTGCTTCACAGAAATACAGGGTACAAAATGGCAGGAGCATGCTTAGAGCCATTTCAGAAATTGTTGGAAATTTTGTCCAATTCTGTCCTAATCCCAAGCCAAAATTCATTAAAAATGTTTAATGAAACGTGAGTCAGAAACTCAAACGGCAGTTTTAAAAACCAAACGTTCTAAGACAATACCATCTAAAGATATACTAATTTGGTTATTGTATGCTAAGGAATGACTGTAGCGAAATATTGTCTTTGTTTCCTGCAATTACACTACTACACTCTTACAAAAGAATACTTTGTATGTACAGTTAAAAAAGAGACCCTGCAATTCATAACACAGAATAACCTAGAATTCGAGCCAAGGCAGTATTTGCTGGTTTGGGGTACTGTGATGGCACGTACAGTGCTAAGTTCAGAACCAAGGCTGCAATGTGTGGTACCAGAGCCATTCAGATTCAGATGTGGGTTGATTTTGATCACTGTGCATTCAGAAACCTTCTCCTGTTTCATAATCCCACACCCAGTTACATGACCCCACGTATGGCCGTGATTCAGTTTAAGAAGCTGTGCTGTGGGGCATTACCAGTGATGCAGCTGCTAAGTGCAAATCAAGCCAAATGAAGCCTATTGACCAATACTTCTTTATCAAGGGGCTACCAAATGACAATCTTGGCTCAGGGCTCAACGTCCATTAGTGAATAAAGCTGGGGCTCTATTTCCTGTAGCCATCAGGATATAAACAACTTCAATATAACTTAGCATTAGAGAAGGTCCTAATGTTTTATTTTTCCTATAAGATGTACCCTGGGAATCTGACCTTTATGTTCTTTCAAAACTTGAAATTCTAAAACTATAACTATGGGCTAAGATCTTGCTTTTTCTTTTTCTTTCTTTTAGCACACAAATGCTAGAGATGAAACTCTAATTCTGTGAAATTGCCCATTAACTTCTGCAGGAAAGATCAACTTGTTGGACTTTTTCATAATTGCCAAATGTGCTCTGGGCTCTTTAATACACAGTCCTTTAGCTCTGTGCTGAGAATGGAAAAAAGAAAAAGTATCGAGACATCAAGGGGTACACAGTCAGCGAAGGAGCCAGGCTTGTGTTTTTTTAAGATTGAGGTTTTAAATTGCAATCCACATTAACTGGGTCACATATTAACCTTCTGCTAAAAGAAGCCTGAGGGACGGAGGTGATGTCCAGCTTCCACCAAGATTTCATTATCTACTATCTGCTTTTGCAACTCCAACTAGGTATCAGGTGAATTAAGGGAAAAACCAATTTCTACATTCCTTGGATGCGATCAAATTGATTATCTCTGGGCAGAGCAAAAGAAGGCTGGAAATAACAGGTGCCGCTTCATATTTGTGTGTCTGTCCTGCCCTGATTATCTGTTTATTTATACCAGTTATTGACAACATTTTGTACCATACAAAGAAGTATTTTTTTTTTTAATTTATTGAGCTTCAAAAGGAGACACAGGAAGCATCTGTTTCTAGGGAAACCTGAGGTTGGAAGCTCTTGGTTTTCAGATCACAGAGTGCATTCCTACACATGTGGTGGTCTATTGTACAGTGACAGCCCTTCTTCCTCATTTACCTCATCCCATTTACAAAATTAATGCAACAATGGGAGATGATTATTGATGTTCATTATTAAATCATTAATTCGTCCCACACGATGATTCAGAATTATTCATTAAACTTGCTGGAAGGAAGCATGGTTTTACTTCTGCAGTGGCTTGGGGAGGGATGTGTTCTTTAAAAGGATATTTTATAACAACACAATTATCATAATTAAAAGCTACTCCGATAGTCTGATGAGCTTCTGACATATTTTTGAGTACTGGCATTTTAGCATGAGGAGAGAAATGAGATGGAATTGTATTAGGGAATAACACTGCTGTGGGGGACAAAAGCTGGAGGCAATATTAAATACCACCTGCCACTGTCACCCCAGTTTTATCAAGGTCTTTAAATTAATGAATTTTATAAAACAGCACTTGAACTTCCGGCTTTCCGAAATGAGCTGACATTTTATCGCCATGGTCTTGGCTACTGTCCATATTCCAGGGTGGTGCACAGGCCCATGTCTACCATTTCAGGTCTCCCAACCCAGCAGTCCATGGCAGCTGCATCCACACCCCAATCAGAAATTCAGGTCCCTAGTTTTCCCTGTGACTGAAGGGCCTGGCCTAGCATGCCCTGGAAACCCATAGTGGACTAAAAGAGGCACCTTCTTAACACAGAGGTGGGGCCTAGAGGCAAGGTGGGAGGCACTTTAGGAGAAAAAAACTAGACTGCCAAATGATGCTGGAAGGCTGGCAGGTGGATGAGGGAGAGACAAAGGCCACAGTGCCCTGTGATGTGGGATGGACAATCTGAACATACCATGGGAAGGCTGTCCAGGGAGCTTCATGGGATTTAGAGCTTGCTCTGCATTGTGCCTGGTCCAGGGCATGAATCTCTGCTGAGTTGTGCCAGCTGGCCCCTGAGGGTTGGATATGAGTCTAAGACTTTGCTTCCTATACTCTTTCTATACCAATGAGGTCTCCCTGTGCAGTGACACATGAGCCGGACTTCTCAAATCCCTCAAGAAGCTGATGGTCTAGTGGGAGATTTGGACATGTTAATACTTGCAAATCCACTTAGTAAATGCTGGCATCAAGGCACAACTTGGGGAGGAGTGAGGAGCTTCATACCGAAAGCGTCGAGGCTGAGTAGGTTTGGTCATGTAATATGGAAGTGGCTAAAGTATAAGGCAAGAATTTCTGAGAAGGGCAAGGTGAGGAGCTGGGCCTTATGCCAAGGCAGGAAAGGGTGCCAAGAAGGGCGTGACCACTGAGCTGCCTCTAGGGCCCAGATGAGAAAGTGTGACTCAAAGAAGTGACTGGTTGGAGTAACATGAAGGAGGTAGAACTAACGGGACATGAATGATCAGAGTCCTCTGTCCTGCCCCCAGGCAAGGAAGTCCCTACTGGACCCAGAGTCCTCAGGATGCCAGGACCTGAGGCCATCAAGAGTAGATAAAGAAGGCAAACCCCAGCTCTGCCTCATGCTTACAAAGAAACTTTCTGATTGTAATATGGCTTCCCATTTAGCTCTGTCTATGAGAAGGGGCTGTGTGGCTGGGGCTTGTCCTGCTTAAAAGCATTAACTGGCTTTACAGCTACAGATATCAACCTCTGTGAGAGGATTACAGGACTCTAGGGAGACACAGGCAACTCTGGGTAGGTGTGTCCACAAGCCCAGTTCTGGAGCCTGTAGGGTTGCTGCATCCCGTAACCATGTCCTCTAGGCTCTAGGTGGATGAAGCTTCTTCCAAGGATGGAACCCTAGATGTTAACCCTGTGGGTCTTCTCAGGATCTGGGGGTTCTTATGAACAGCACAATCCCACTTACTACTTGAGAACATTGACATAATGAAGAACAGAGAGCTTCAGAAGCACAGCATTTGCATCATTTACCATTTGTTCTAAAAGGGACAATTGTGGTGGTATTGAATGTTGTCCTGGGTTGATTCTCTGTTGCACAACAGTCTCCATGGTAGAACTGATGCCATCCTGACACTTCACTTCCTTGGCATCAGACAAGCTTTCCATACTAACTCAAGCATGGCATTAAATTTTAAAGGCCTTTAATAGAAGTTTTCTAACTTCATCCCCATGGAACAGTTGGAAAATGTCTCTCATTATGCAAGCTTTTTGTAAAATGTCTCAGAAGTACAGAAGGGCCTATTGTACTTTTCACAAGTAAATGCAAACACATTTAATACTGGAGTGTGAATAAAAGAGTAGCAGGATTTTTTTTTTTAATTTAACAAAGGCTGACTCTTGGGTGAGACCACCTCTAGCCTTTCTCCTTCCCCATAACAAATAAATGAAGGCATTTGCATATTAGAAGTGTTTGATACAAGTAAGCCACAGAACCATCTAAAAGAAGGTGTTGGGACCAAGACAAGACATATAACAGTTATGGCTAGAGTCCTGCTAGGCCATTAGCCACTTAGGGAAGCAGCCTAGGACATGGCATTTCTCTGGAGAGCGACCCTGCACCCTAGGCCTCCGAGGAGGAGAGAGGAAGTAGGAGCTAGCACCAGGGAGTATGTCATCAGAAGCTGAGACCTACTTTCAGAAATGGGGCATCTTCATTACGTGAGTGCACATGTGTGGCTCACACATATGATGCATTAACTTCCTAGGTGTCTGGGGAGGAGTGGGAAGGGTTCAACTCAGAGGGGTAGACAGGTGTTTACCTAACCTGTCTGTTTTCAGCAGGTGGCTACTTTTAGATGTTTCTATAATCGTTATTCTAGATTATTCTCTGTCTTAATTTCACGTAAGTCTGTAGCAAGGTGATCAGAATGCATACAGTTTCCCCTCTTATTCAGGACAGAATTGGAAGTCACCCCACTACAGGGGAATCCATGAAGGTCCCAGGACTAGCCACCTAAGCCCCATGGGGCTTCCTAGGTAGCATGTGAGGACTTCTGGTAGGAAGATTGGCTCCTAAGGGTCATCTGTCCTTGAACCAGTTCATGCTTCCCAGAGAAGTAAAGGAAGTTGTCTCTATCTCTTACCATCTCCCAAGGCAGAGATAGCCACATTTTTGGTCCCATGTCCCAGGAACCCTCACTTCCAGGAACCCCACCCTCAACTGTAGATAGCTACTACAGGTTTGTGTGTGGTAGATCGGGGCCATCTGAAATGCTTCCCAGGATTACGCCTCCCAACCATCCTATGACACTGACTACCATTGTTCCTACTTAAAAGTATGGAAATTGAGGCAGGAAGGATTTGACACTGTCTACAGCCACACTACCAGTGAGTGGTGGAACTGGGATCAGAACCAATTCCATTCCAAGCTCTGTCCCCTCTTCCCTGTGCCAGGTGGCACAAGGGCTTCAGAAAGAGCTGGAGACAGTCACAAACACCAGGTACTACCTGCTTTGATGAGCTTATCCGCCAGCTCCTTCCGCACAGTCTTGGTGAGGTTGAAGTAGTCATCGTCCTCATCAATGCTCTGTAGGAACAATGGGATGTGCTGGAAGACGATGGCATGCTGGCATCTCTGCTGCTCTGCAATGCTCAGCTGCTGGTCCAGCCAGTGGTCCTGGGCCTGCTTCAGCACAGGGCACCTCGAGGCATCATATAAGAACTGGGAGTTGAGCACCAGGAACAGAACACCCCCGACCCAGAAGCTGAAGTAGTCATCTCCCCACGTCTGGCAGAATTCCTCCACAGTCTCAGCTGTGGGGACATTGCCCAAATCATGGTTGCCACTGACCAGGACCAGTGGGATGTCTCGGTCAACAGCCTTTAACACCCGCTGCAGGTCCTCTGTCTGTTCTTTCCGCCAGGGTGTCCCTGGAAGAGGAAAAGTGATGATCTGAGAGGGCCGAAGGCATGTACATGAAATTAAGACAAAAATCTAGAATAACATTATGGGAACTTCAAAGTTGTCACCTTATGAAAACAGTGGCAAACACCTGCTTACGCCTCTGTGATGGATAGCTTTAGTGTCAACTTAACACACCTGGGTTAAGGGAGCTTCAGTTGGGGAATTGCCTCTATTGGACTGGCCTGTGGCCATGTCTGAGGGGCATCTTCTTGATGAGTGATGTGGGAGGGCCCAGCCCACTGTGGGTGGTGCCACCCCTGGGCAGGTGGGCCTGTGTTGCATAAGAAAGCAGGCTGAGCAGGGGCCGGGGGGGGGGGCAAGCCAGTAAGTAGCATTCCTCCATGGCCTGTGCTCCAGCTCCTGCCTCCAGGTTCCTGCCCTGAGTTCCTACTTTGGGCTCCTAGATGAACTGTGACCTGGGATATGTAAGCTAATAAACCCTTTCCTCCCCAAGTCGGTAGAGGTCAGAGTATTTTGTCACAACAATGTAGAAACTAAGACAGAAATTGGTACCAGAGAATGAGATATTGCTGTGACAGACCTGACCTTGGTGTTTTGGGGAGGACTGTGGAAGTATTTAGAACTTTGGGCTGGAAAAGCCATTGCGTGCTCAGAGTTTGTTGCAGTGGAGCTTGGAACAGTTATGTTGAAAGAGATGTGGATGACGGAGGCCTGGCTTGTGAAGCCTCAAAGGGAAGTGGAGACCATCAGGGCTGTTCGTGTGAGATTTTGGATTGAGAATCTGTGGGTTCTGGTCGGCTGGGTCTGAAGAATCACCTGTGATTAAGGGACCAGAACCTGAAGCAAAACCTTTGCTTTACTGGGACAATTGATGCTGGTTAGCTGGGGCTGAAAAATCAGCTGTAAGTAACAAGAGGCCAGCATCACTGAGGTGAAGTCTTCTGGGAGGTTGTTCCTCAGGGTCAGCACACAGAGGGGACCTGAGCCTCTATCTCAAGCTGGAAGCAGGACTTGGTAATGTGTAAGTCTCCTGCATAGTTCTGGTGTTGAAAGCGTGAAGGGGTCACAGAGAGCAGCTGAGGCTTGGCACTCTGAGGGCCAGGAAAGGCCATAGGTTAAAGTACAGCTTCAGTTGCAGCGAAGACCCCAGGATTGAAGGGGTCATGGAGAGAAACTGAGGCTTTGCACCCCAAGAGGCAAGAAGAGGCCATTGGTGAAGGTGTAGCCTCAGTTTCAGTGGCAACCCAGCTTTTTGGAGATGCCGGGACCATGGGACGACCACCAAGGACAGCGGCAGATGTGGCATGGAGCTGGCCTGAGTCTGCGAGACGAGCTGAGTGTGTTGGGGACTGCAGAGTCAGAGCAGTGGATCTGCCAGTACCCTTTGGAGCCCAGAAGATCGTGAGTGAATCCCAGATGTACAGCCTTGAGCTACTTTGCTGGACTTTGGTTTTGCTTAGGTATGCCCTATTCTTCCCTTTGAAATAAGACGGTACTTGTTTTGGATTTTACAGAAGCCCACCCACAGTTAAGAGACCTTTAAGAGACTATGGACTTTTAAATGTTTGGATTTTTTTAAGGAATGTGGGGTTTTTAAGGTTGTACTGTCTTATACTGTGATATTAACATCATATCTTGGGGACAAAAATTGGAAAGTTTATGGTTTAATAGTGATGTTTATCAAGTTGATAAGGGGTCAATTGTGCTGGATAGGTTTAGTGTCAACTTGACACACCTGGGTTGAGGGAGCCTCAATTGGGGAATTTCCTCTATTGGACTGGCCTGTGGCCATGTCTGAGGGGCATCTTCTTGATGAGTGATGTGGGAGGGCCCAGCCCACTGTGGGTGTTGCCACCCCTGGGCAGGTGGGCCTGTGTTGCATAAGAAAGCAGGCTGAGCAGGGGCCAGGGGAGCAAGCCAGTAAGCAGCATTCCTCCATGGCCTGTGCTCCAGCTCCTGTCTCCAGGTTCCTGCCCTGACTTTCTACCTTGGGCTCCCGGATGAACTGTGGCCCGGGATATGTAAGCTAATAAACCCTACCTCCCCAAGTTGGTAGCGGTCAGAGTGTTTTGTCACAGCATTGAAGAAACAAACTAAGCCTCTGAGCTGAATCCCTCCTGCTCCTCCCTGGACACCTGGGAAGTTCACTATGTAGTTACCTGCCTCACATTGCTGAATGAGTTGATTCTGATATTAGACATCAGAGAAACTTAACATCTACCTTCTGTTTCTATGAACACTAAACAGATGGCTGCAACTTTTCTCCTGTTTCAATGGTGCACCTGGCTACCCTAGTTCTATCTGTGTGGACCTGGCTTTGAACAACAGCCCCACACTGCTATTCGTTTCAGTGTTTCTAACCATTTACATGGTCTTGCAGAATGCATCAGTATCTTTAGGGGAGAAATCCTTAGAAATTAAGTGGCTTAGATCAATCTGTCAAGTGTCCCAATACAAGAAGAGGCACTTTACATTCCGCCAGCAGCACACCAGGGTACACAGGCTCAGCATCTTAGTGCTCAGCACATCCTCCCTCCTCTTCCAGCATGAGGAACTCAAAATGGAAATGATTATTTGAATAGAGATCTGAAAAATGTGTGGGTAACCAGAGCCCTCCTTCTCTTGGATTCTGCATTTCCTGTAATAATGTATTAAAGCTTTAATAAATGGATTTCATAATGACCAATTCAATTCCACATCTGTTCTTGTAAGCCTCTCTGTGTACATTTATTCAACAAATATTTATTGAGTGCTGACATGTGTGATGCACTGATTTAGTGACTGTGGATATGTCTGGAGTCAAGCAGACACAATCGCTTTTCTCTAAACCGGGAAGTCTGATCATGGGTTGCGTTAGTTACCAACGTGCACCCCCACCCATCTCAGATGTCATCAGGAGTTACTTACTAAAGGCAAGCAGGGTGAGGCCGTAACTCCAGTGCCATGTTAGTCCTGAGGAATATGCTGGCATCAGAGGCAACATAAGAGCAATGATGGAAAAGGGTAGGCTGGCCTCCCTGAGCACCACGAAGCCTACAGCAGAGGAAGTTAAGTCCAAGTTTTCCTCAGTAGTTAGAAAGACAACTGGGTTGATCACAATTGGGAATAATTTGCTATGTTATCTCAAAATAACTGGAAGGAAGGTTTTGAATGTTCCTGACACAAAGAACTGATAAATGTTGGAGGTGATGGATGTGCCCACTATCCCAAGTTGGGCATTACATATTGTACACATAAATCAAAGTATCAGTGTAGCCCACAATTGTATATTGATTAGAAATCGACACAGTCATTGTATGTTGCTTAGAAATAGGATTTAGAGACAACCAAGAGAAGTTCTTCTGAGCAATCACAGCTAAGGAGGCCCATAATGCAGAAAGGGAGGCATCAGTCTCAACAGTTGTAAAGCAGCTTATGTCAAGTGGGAACTGGAGACTTGAGGAAGGACATCAAGGAAAAAGACAAAGATGGCACAGAAGTGACAGGCACAAGGAGGTTACTGTTTGTGAGAGGGCCAGGAGCCCAGGCAACTGAACATGTGAAGATGAAGGATGTGCTGGCTCCCTAACTGTGCAGCCCTGAGATCTCAGGCTTCCCCTCTAGCAAACTCCTTGATGGTTCAAATCCCCCATGTTGTCACTCTTTTCTTTGGGTCTACTGGTGTTTACTAGTTCCAAGGGGCTTTGTTTAGTCACCAGTGTGGGGGTGGATCGATGCATATCTCCTCCTATTTCTGTTGAGTTTTGTGCCATTTAACTGTTAATTGCATTAGTAGATATGTAAGTTCAGAATTTCAATACTGTACTGAAACACTTTTTTTTCTTTTTCTTTTTTTAGGAATGTGCAAATGTCTTTATTCAAAAATACAAAATATCTGTAGGCATGGACAATGACAGCAGTAAACCATTATATATTATCAATGGAAACCAGTAACTGATGGTTATAGTGCTTTTCTTAAACATCAGCCAGCCTTTGTTCAGTCACTTTCTTCAACTGACTTCTCTGAAGTTCCTGGTGAGGAGCCCTGCCTTGAACTATCTGTCACACTTCACTGACAAGGGCAAAGCACTATTGTAGGAATTAGAACATGCCACTTCTCATAACATCTCCCATTCCACCCACTGCACCCATTCCAAGGTCCTTCTCTTTAAGAATTTCTGTGACGACAGCTTCTGCTGTAGTTAACAGAGATACCATCTCAGCAGCATCCAGTAAAGCAGTCCTTACAACCTTTGTTGGATCAATGATTCTCTTTTCTACCATGTTCACAAAATCTCCAAGCATAGCATCACTCGGTATAAACTCTGTAAGATATGAAATTGAATGAGTTTTTACCCTTTAAAGAAGATCTCTATTTCACTTTAGAATAGGCTGTTTCCTACATTTTTTTTAATTTTTAAAAATGATTTTAATAACAACATACTTAGAAGAAGCATATCATTACAACACAATTGACGTATTTAATAACGTTTTCCTGAGGTAGGATGCATCTCTTTCAAAATTGGCTGTAAATTTTTAGGTTTACAGTTGAATTATTACAGTTACACAATATTGTACTTAGTATAAACCCTATAAGAAATAAAATTATTGAATGAGTTAACCTTTAAAAAAGATCTCCATTTCATTTTAGAATATATTAGAAATACTCATTGTTTTTGCTAATGCTGAGATGTTGGCGCATTCATCTCTAATCTGTACGTGACTGATTATTACTAGTCATAAATGGTTGCACTTGTTTTTTAAAACTACAGTAAAGCCTGAAGTATTTAAACCATAAGACAAAAAGTTTGTTTTGGCTATAGTTCGTAAAAGGTTGGGCCTATTGCCTCAGTCCCTTAGGGATCAATACATCACATTTGGAGTGTGGTGAAGCAAGCTGCTCACACCATGACTTGGAAAGGTATCTAATCTATGCATAGATGCTGCCTGAATTTGGATGGGAAGTTCCTCCAAACCTATGAAACCCTTCAACTTAAGAGGAGCAGTTCTGGTGCATAAACACTCT